CGTTTGGCCAACAAATTCACAGCGAGTAGATGCTTAGCGAGTTTATCGCTCGGCTGTGGTTAAATGCGCAACTGCACGTAGTTATTTGGCATTCAAAAGTATCTAGTGGAATACTGCCGTTATGAACTATGCTTTTACATACATATTAACATAGTTCTGTTAAGTTAACATTGCTGTTGCAAGGTGATGTTGAGTAATAATTGCATGAGAGAATATGGATTAAGGTTAATAAAATTGTTGTAACCCTTAAGTACTGTTGCGGGTCTCTCAGACCACGACACAATTTTTAGATTAAAATTAATATTTCGTTGTAAGAAATCAACGTTGAAAAGCCTTATTGAAAGCAGTCACTAGTTACTACTCATTGTTAAAGTTGCCAAAATTTTTAATTTAATTTTGTTAATTGAAAGTATTTTATTTTAAAACATTCTTTTGCTTTTTAAACAAGTGAAACACCTTTATGCTTTTCTGATTTTGGCTTAACATATGGGTAAATTAATTATAATAAAAAAAAAAATCGCAAAGTCAAAATAATAATATTTTTCACTAAAAACAGTTTTAGGTGAAACGATCTAAAAACATACGAATAATATTTAATACTTAACAATAAAGTTTGTTTGGTCTCACATACCAACATCAGTCTTCTTCTAAGTATAGTAATTAAGGGTTAATAAGTTGTTAGAATTGAAAAATATATTTTATTTTCACTTTTAACTTGAGTAGTATGAAAACAAGTAAAGAAATCTGAGTTCGGGTGAAGTTTTTTCGCCTTTCTGGTTTTACGCCTATTTCAAATATTTTCGATAATATGCTTATCGCTACCTAAAGGTTAAAGGTGCCAAGCCCACTTTTTTTCAAAAGTTAGTTTTTGATGCAGAAAGACAGATAATGCCAAACTACATCGATTTTTCGTCTCTTCTGAATAATTTAAAAAAATGGACTTGGCACCTTTTCAACTTTAGGTAACGATATGAGCCATTTACAGTCAAAATTCGACCGTTTTTCGGGAGAGGTTTTTAACTATAGCGTGTCTGCTTTGCAACTAAAACGTGGCTCAAATTTTTTATTTCTCTGAAGGACTTTGGCAGGAGTTTGGCAGGACTTGGAATTGGCCAGATACATTCCAGTTTATCGATGAATTTCGAAAATTTGATACCTATCGATAATTCAATGAATTTCAAAAACAATAAAATCCGATAACTCAACAAAATTCGATAACTCGACTAATTTCGATATTTGTCGATACGTTTCAAGGGCTACCGTGATTGGGACACAATTTGCACCAAATTTTCAGCAAATGCCCAACCGTGTGACACTGCCTTAACAGATCCTAGTTTCAATTGTCATTTGACGAAGCTTATAGTTTTTAGTTTTCGTTTGGTTTTTCTTATTTACGAAAAAGCATCTGTGAAGTTCAGAGCAATAAAGTGAACATACAAAAATATTTCCAAACGAAAATCAGCTTGACGTAAACAAAATACCGATTGGCGACAAATTTTTTTTTTTGTTTTTGTTTGAAACAAATACAATATGGGTAATTTTTTTCTCAGCAAGTGAGAAACTTTAATTAGACAAACTTGTTTTTTACTACCTTTGCAAACATTAAAATATTCTAATTTCTTTACGTCTTTCAAAAGTGGCGCCGATCAATAGAAATCACAATTTCATCCGCTTGCCGGTTTTTTATTTGCCGTGTAAACTGGTTTTTCAATTAAAATTCAAATATTTAGGAATGTATGTAAATAAGTTTTTAAGTGTTAATAAATTTCATATTTCAGGCATTTGACTACACTCAATAGTCATCAAAAATTTAAGTTTATTTGAAAACAAGTTGAATTATCGTAAAACGAGTTGGATGAAAACAAGCCAGACATTGAGTTAGGTTAGTTTAGTATTTGCCGCGATTAAGTAAGAAAATACTTGTTAGAAATTTTGAAGTGATTTTGTGATAGGTTTAAATTTAGATTGCACTCATACAATTTTTTTTTTTGGTTATAAATATTTAATAAAACAGATTAATTCATCAGATCAGGTTATATTGAATTAATTTTGCGTAAATACATATTTGGTTTTGTAAATTTCCACAAAATATAATATGAAATTAAAGTTATTGAAAAACAAAATAGATGGCTTGTAGAAAATTAGAATTTAAAGTAGCATAAAAAAGTGAATGATGACTTACATGCTTACATACATAAGTGTTTCTCGGTGACCGATTTATCAATCGGTCCTTCTATGGTTGTTGATGTCGATGAAATTTTTTCATCAAAAAATAGCCATCGTAAGTCCAACTCCAGCTACGCTGACCACAGCACTATTTTTGCAAGGAACATCTTTCCACAAAAATATTACGAGGGCTATTGGTGTCATTGAAAAATGATATCGACGTCGACGTTTACAGCCATAATAGGACCGAATATGTATCTATAAAACTTGGTGCAGTTATTGTCCTTCGTACAAAAAAGCAATATCGGGCCGGAAGCAGAATTTTATTTTCAACGCAGAAATGCATCTAGGAACATCTCTGCATAAACAATAAAATTTTGAAAAAATTCCCTTATGATAAAATTTTTTTTAAATCGGATTAAAATTACGCCCACTTCCCATTTACCTACGGTGGCCATCCGTCCTGTATCATACGGGACGCCGAATGTTCTGTATTTGTTTTAATGTCACGTCTTTGCTCCGTTTTAAATGAGGTTGGCATATGATCGTAATTTTCATCATAAACAGTTATTATTTTTAATGTAGATAGTTTCCGAAGTTATAATTTTGTTTAAAAAAACTGTAAGAAAATTTTCAAGTTTTGAAATGTCACAAAAAAACGCCGAAACATTTGAACTTAAATTTGGGTCGTAGTTTTGTATACCGTTTTTCCAGATCAGGTAATCTTCTAAAGATCTTTAAATTTTTGTAAAAAAAAAAATATTCAAACTCTAACAAGGAAAAAAATACAAAATAACAAGTCTTTTGTAATTTTTTTAAATTTATAGTAAAGATTGTTCTTTTGCCAAAAAAAAAATCAAGCTACTAGCGAGGGAAATCGATAGATAAATAAACAAGTTTTGAATGGTTAAATGAAAATTTGCAAACATTTTTTGTATGAAATAGAGCCAACAAATAATGTTACTCCTACGTCACGACGTACATGCAACTCCAAAGAAAAGTGTTACAATGATGCAAAAGTGTGGGAAATCAATCCGAGGAATACCACTCTGGCTTAAAAAGTAGTCAGATAGTTTCATTATGCTTCCCTGCTTAGGAATATTTGTAGCAAATTTTGCGTGGTAAAACTGTGTGCAAAGTAAAACAGTTATAGAAAAATTGAATTTGATACTAAATGCGATGTTATACATTCTGGAAATATCTAGCATCTACTTTTTCAACCTTTTTATGGTGGTGAACGTGGGCAAAACTAAGTATTTTCTGCCATCACGTCACCGTTGACAGTTACAGTTTTAAAAAAGTAGACGACTGCGTTTTAAAAGAAACTAGCATTAGCACCGATAATAATGTCAGCCTTGAAATCCAACGGAGTGATTTCTCCTTGTCTTGCAAAAAGTGCTACTTTGAGTAGGCAATTGGGACTTAAAGTCCCTCTTGTCAAAACAAAAATAACACTCTATAAGTCCACTCATTATACCCGCGCTTATGTATGGCGCAGAAATATGGATAATTAAAATATCTTATGAGACGGCTCTTAAAGTTATCATGAGAAAGATTCTGCGTAAGATTTACGGTCCTCTTCCCCTTTTTAAAGTAAACACATCATGTAGCCTACTTTGTTGAGCGGCTTTCTGAAGTAGCATTATGTGAATCCATGTTAACTTAACGGTTACAAGCTAGATTCAATAAACCAATGTGTAACCACTGAAATTGCGAATATTCACCACACCTTTCCTTGTTTCCGCTGATGTTCCATTTGCTGAGATAGAGCAGTCTACCACGACGATAAATCGTCATCCTATTGCCACAAGCGCGAATGTTCAAATCAACTAATTTTGAGTTATTGGGTTGACTGGATTAACCTTTTGAAGTTCTACGTTATACGAAATCCCAGCATACCAAGCAAACACGGAGACCATATATTTTAAAATGCCAAAGACAGCAGTGCAGGTCAAGTCTCGTAAAAAAACTTTCAAATTTGATTTCCCAAAATTTTAATTTTTATACATTCACGTTTCTTGCGCACAGACGACGGTATATCATTAATTACGCCGCACAACAGCATTTCTGATGATTAGGTTATATTATATGATATTAGCCTAGTTTTTAATTACGATTTCAAATCTGTGATTGAAATTTTTTGTATCAGATCTAGTTCAGAAAATATGACACATGGTATTTCGCATTTTTTCCATACAAAGTATTTTTGAAAATATTTTTGTATAGAAAAACTGCGTGAAAAAAGTTCTAAAAATCGACGGTAAGTCACAGCTACATCAAACTTGCACTTTGTTGTAATACAATTTATTGGGCTCCAAACTGCATACGCAAAAAAAAATCTAAAAAAAATCTGATTAAAGTTTTGCACAAAATTTAGAAATTAGATTTTTTTTTCTTTTTTGCTGTAGTGTGAACCACATTTTTATAGAAAATTTGCGGAAAAAATAAAAATAAAAATTGTTGCCTGTATTGTAAAAACTTTTCTGTGCCAATACTATTTTCCGGCAGTGTAGTTAATCTAGTTTAATCGAGATCTCAATTTAAAAAACTAAATTTCTTTTATAAGACCACGTTAACCGATTTCTATAAATATTTTTTTTTTAAGGAAAGGATGTACCTCAGACTAATTTGGTATAGATTCGATCATTGTATCATGAAGAAATTAACGGTTCTCTTAAATTTTTGTTTGAGAATTGAAGTTTTTGGTTTTGTTTTTTGCTTAAAAATTAGTTGTTTTTGTTTTATACTTTAAGGGCAGATACCTTTTAAACGCTTAGTATTTGAAAAAAAAAAAATAATAATAGAAAACCAAACCATAATTAGGAGACACTTACCTCTCTGGCCATTACGACATGCCTCAACAAAGCCGCCCACGATATCGAGGGTCTGTGGTATCTGCCATCTGGTACCGCCGCGCTGCCACTCTGCCACCGTTGCCACTGGCCGCATTAAAAACCAAATCTCCACCAAATGGCAGTGCAATGCACGCTCTCCAGTGCGTTGAAATGTTTTATAGCTAGCATGCAATTTTTATTTGAACGACAATTTTTCTTTTTTTATATTTAATTTTTGTGCGCCGATTGGTTTGCTGATTAACGTGTAGTTTTAAATGAAGTTTTACTTTTTCATACTAAGTTCAATTTTATTTTTAGTTTCTGGTGTTATTTAAGGAGGTTGTAGTTTTTGGATATCGTTTTATTGCTTCGTAAATTTTGTTTCGTTTTCAAAATGAATGTAAGATGAGTTATTAATTTGTGCATTTCATTTTTATTGGGAAGACAATGTGTTTGTTATAATGGTTGCTCGTTTCCTTTTATCTTTTAAAACGTGTTTTATTGTTTTTGTTTGTCATTATCTTTATTCTAGTCGAGATTAACGATTTTCCATAAATACAATGTTAATGCGTTATACTTGTAGTGGTTATAAGCACTGATTGGTAAAAAATGTAAAAACATTTATTGTTATAATTTTTTTTTTAAATAATAGTGATGCACAGAACCGAGGAACCGGAATCGGAGAACCGGGTCCCTAAGAGAATGGGTCCGATTTGTACAAGAACCGAAAAACTGTTCTAATGGAACCGATTCCAAAAACCCGAAAAACGGTTCCGGAAAAAACGAAACTCAATTCCAAATGACCCAAAAAATTACTCCGGAAGAAACGAAACTAGATTCCAGAAGACCTGAAAAACGATTCGGTTAGAACCGAAATTCGTTTCCAAAAGACCCGAAAAATGGTTCCAGAAGAAATGGAAAATGATCCCAGAATAACTGAAAATATAAGTAAAAACAACTGAAAAAATATTCCAAAAGAACCGAAACGGAATCCTATACAACCGAAAATGGGCAAAAAATCTATTGTTTTGACATTAAGTCTAATTTTTACGTTATCAGCCCGAACATCGGTTTAAATATATAGAGTACTGAGTTAACCTACCAAATCGTATTCGATTCAGGGCACTATACAATATAGCTGCTATTTACCCGATCTGGCCGGCTTACATCAACTTCATTGTTTTTCATGTTATCTTATGTTATAGAGACCCGATCATTGTTATTTTCACTGCAAGTAATCTGTTGATAATGGGTGGAAATAGCGCGAAATGTCATGTTCCTAGCTGCATAAATGGAGAAGTTACAACGAAAAATCTGATCTCTAAACAATCAGTTGTATGGTGGCTATATGTTATAGTGGTCCGATTTTTCCGATTCCGACAAGTGATTAATACATTATCAAAATACGCTTACTTACCAAATTTCATCCGGATATATCGAAAACTGAGAGACTAGATTGCATACAAACAGACGGACAGACGGACATGGCTAAATCGACGCAGCTCGACGTTCTGATCAAATAAGTATACATTTTAGTGGGTTTATCTCTTCTTATTCTTGTACTTACAAACATCAGACAAAAGTTATAATATCATTTCATGCTCATGAAAGGTATAAAAATAAAATAAATAAATCCGAGAAGCCCCAAAAAACGAAGACTAACTGAAAACCCCACAAGGTCGCGAAAAACGCAGAAATATTCTCCGAAAAAAAAAATTGAAAAAGTCTCAAAGAGTCGACTTCTGCTAAAGAATTCAAATTCCAAAAACAACTTTTATTTACAGTTTCAGGGCGACAATTATTATCCAATAGTTTGTAGTTTATGAATTTTTACGCATTGAAATCTTTATCGAAAATACCTCATTAACAAACAAGTAAATAAAAATCGCCTAGTCATTTTATGAAAGAAATTACGAAGTCAAAAATATTACGTAAGTATCTTTTTTAGCAATTAATTTCAAACCTTGACAATACTAATCTTATTTCCTTATTTTTTTTTACAACCTAATTGCAGCTCCACAACAGTGCAACCTTTTACCAAATTTTGCTTTGCAACTCCAGCAGTTTTATGGAAATCTCCTTTGTACACAGGTGCGTCGAGAAAATATTGAAGTAAATACTATATTAACTATTCATTAAATGCCGTTTTCTCAAGTAGGTTTCGAAATTTATCTGCCCTTCAAACGCATTGGTTTTTCAGAACAAATTTTTGTTTAAAGCGCAGATTATTTACTTGATAAAACGACCTTAAATTTTTTATGGTTCTAATCAAATTCTAATCAAATGAGCAAGTAAACATTTTAAAGCTCATTACACATCGAACACTGAGTAGTAAGGAAAAACTGCAAAAAAAATATTACACATCAAAAATTAAATTTTCTAAAACATCTACTATGCATTTCACTTTCTCTACGTGTTCTGACATTTATTGCTCTCTTCTTTGGCACAACTATCGTCCACATTTATTCCACCACCACCACCGCCTTTCAACTTAATTCGATGTTCGAAAATCCACAAATAAGAATCTCGATTTTCACTTTACACTTTCCACTGTTATTTCATTGCTATTTAGTTACTGCTTCCGTTTCCTTTTCATTCACACTCACACACGTATTTGTATGCGTTCACTACTCGGTAGGATTTCATACACTTCGCATGCTCATCGTTTTGACATTTTGTCGTCACTGTTGTTGTCGTCGTCATCGTCGTCGTCCATCGCGTAGCAGCATAAACGCCCAATCGCTCGGCACTCCTACACCTACACGATGTTTATTTAACTCACTACAACTTCATCTCTCTCCTTACTCATCCTTATCTGGGTATATTTGGCCCTCTATTTTTCTTTCTCTTTCTCTTTTTTCTTTAATGCCACTCTCAGCATTTTTGTTTTACTGAATAGCACACAATTTTTGACGTTTCCAGCCAGAGCTTTGAGTGTTTAATTGTGTATGTGTGTGTGTGTGTGTGTGTTTTACCCCTTTCTTTATCATAGTAATCCGCGTGAAGTTGGCTGCATTTCCTGTTTTACCCAGTATTTTGTATTTCATTACACTACGCTTATCTTTCGGTGCACACGCTTTGTTTCATATTTACTATTTCGTCTCTTTTGTGCGTAAATTTTGCCAAATCTACGTAAAATTTCTCTACTACATACACTTACATCCGCTAATTTCCTTCCTCACCATTTTCTTTTATTTTTCCTGTTTTCGTTATGGAAGTCCAGTCAAACGATTCAAGTCTTCAAGTATGTTTACACACATGCATACTACTTATGGCTTTGTAGGTATGTATGCATGCAAATATGTATTAGTTACTTGTGTGAATTTTACATGTGTTTGCGTATGGTCCACATGTTCTTGTGTCTTTGTGGCAATACCCTGTAGGGAAACCCCGAACCTAATTTATAGTCTCCTACTAGAGCTTTATCGCCAAAAACGAACCAGTCCAGTAGTAACTAGATCCCAGCCAGTTCAAAAGCAGTGAAATTTGGTACTTTTACACTTAACGTTTTAAAACTACGTATCGCTAGTTAAGAGTGAAAAGTTGCTCTTAAGTCCACTTTTTCTAAAAAAATTATAGTTAAATGCAAGAAGCAAGAACAGTTAGAAATGCATCGTTTTCTAAAAAATCAAATGAACTATTACTTATGTTTTTAACCATTTCCGTTAAGTGATACACAAATTTGGAAAAAGCAAAACACTCACAGAAAATGTAGTAAGTCCCAAAGAATAAAAAACGTAAAATGACGAGTTTAGAACTGTTTCGGAACTCTAGAAAACGGGATGCAGAACGAACAGATTGAACTAGATCTCATCTGGTGAATTTAGAGACAGTTCGGAACTAACGAAAAGGGATGCAGCGAGGGGCTTGTTTACTTTAAATAAACATTTGTTTGGCGTCTTTGTCCACAAATACGCTTTTATTTTGCACTTCGCAGATGCTTTTTCATAGTTTGGTAATACAAAACAAAAATTTTTGTTAATATTTTAGCGTTTTGGGACCTTCTGGAATCTAACTACTGCAAACTCAGCCACAACCACAGGTACGTGGGCGTACATTTCATACGATCATTGAAACAAAAATTAATTTGAATTTGAAAACACATTTTATTGCAAATTACTTAAAATCGCACACACGGAAAACCAGAAATATCAAAACAAGCACGATACTATTTTCGTCTATCGATTTTTAAACTGGTTCGGAACTATAAAATTTGTGACTAGTTCGGAACTATTGAAAGAGGGATGCAGCTGGGGGCAATTGACGCTTCGCAGGACATACCAATATTAGCTTCGCCAGTTGCTGGCACGCGAAGGAGAATTAACGCGCACTAGTCATGGTTCTAAATTCTCTAGTACAGAACCAGTTCGGCACTAGTGCCTCTCCCGACAGGGTATGTATGACCGAGTTATAGTACGTCCATACATATGTATGTGCCTGTGTATGCATATTTACATCTGTTTTCCGGGAAAAAATCGGCTCAGCTTCAGGCAGCAGCGTCAACAAGAGCAGCAACATCTCGCGTTTAGCAGATTTCGCAGCACAATTCTTTTATTATTTATTCATATTTGACCTTTTTCTCTCTTTTTTTTTACAATTACTAATTGAAGGAAAATATTTATCTGAGTTAGGCTGAAGGCCACTAACGTATGCAGTACAATAAAGCGAGTAGTTATGCTGGTCAGCTTGCAGTCCTCATTAGTTCAGGCCTGGTGTCCACAGAATCATACATATGTACATGTATAAATAACGTTACATTGTACATACATACATGGTACATTGTTATTGATAAAGGACTTAAAATTGTATAAGAATACTTAAAACGTCTTAAAGTCATAATTAACAAGTAAGAAAGTCTAAGTTCGGGCGGAGCCGAACGTTAAATACCCGGCGCAAGTATTAAATATATGTTTTTTCACCTTTCCGAAAGCTACCGCTAGATGGTAAGACGGGGTGTATCAATTTTGAGTAAATTAGCGTCCTTAAATTTCGAAATATTCCAGTTTCAAGCATTTCTGAAATTTACCGTTATATGAAAAGCGGCCGTAATTTTAGTCCGATTTCAATAACTTTCAACGTTTTGCTTTTATGTTTCAAGGATAATAAAAATACCGAGTTTGGTACAAATTGGTATAACGGTTACCGATATACATATATGTGATCATAAGTGGGCGGTGGCACGCCCATTTTCCAAAATTTTACCATGAACGTATTTCTTGGTAAAGAATTGTTGCAAGCATCCATTTTGAATAAATTAGCTTTAATATTTTCTGATTTATCGAAGATTTTGTATTTCTCTAAATTACCGTTATATGGGATGTGGGCGTGGTTATTGTCCGATTTTTAAATTTTCGGCCATTTTGTATGCTGTACCCAGCCCAATAAATGTGCCAAGTTTGGAAGAAATTGGTGCAGCGGTTACCAAGATATGCACATGTAGCCATAAGTGGGCGTGGCTACGCCCATTTTCTAAAAATTTATAATATTCTTATTTTTCGTCTGAAATTTATTGTAAATATCAATTTTGAGTGAATTATCTTCAATAGTTACTAAAATATCGCGGTTTTAGTATTTCTGAAAATTACCGTTATATGG